AACTTTAATTTCATAAAGGTGAATAATGAGCAGTGCTAAGTTGTACAGTACGGCCTAGGAGCTAGTATCTCAGTAACACTGCACCATCACTCCCCGACCATCTTTCTCTACTCCAAGTTGGAGCCGAATGCTAAAATATCAAAAAACAGTTCACTTTCTCTACTAGAGCACTGTTTTTTGTTTTTTGAAAGAACTTTATTTGTGTGTGTGTGTGTGTGGCCAGCTCAGCCCACCAGGGGGTGGGGCTGGCTGGCATGTGGTGCTGGGGGATTGAACCGTGGTCCCTGTGCTTTGCCAAGATTGTTCTAAGTAGGTGCTTTAGACCACTGAGCCATCTCACCAGCCCCCCACCCCTTTTTAAAGAACTTTGTGTGTGTGTGTGTACGTGGCCTAGAGCTCTGTTATAGGAAATCTACAGTAGTGTTAAATTCCATTTTAATGAATAGTGTCAACCTCTTCACAATATGCGCAACTGTATCTGATGACATGAAGAGAAAGTTCAGATTCCGTGTTTCTAATAAGAGCAGTTTTACGTTATTTTGGATCATTTTCCCAAAGAAAACAAGTATAGGGGGCCAGGGAGATGGCTCAGTGGAATAAGCGCTTCCCTGGCAAGTGCAAGGGCCTGAGTTCAATCCCCAGTTCCACCAAAAATAAAATAAGTAAATAAAACCGCTGTCTCCAAAGAAAACAAGTATAAAAGATAAACTTGTCTTAAGGGGTAGGTGGACACTGAAGCCATTTTTGCCTTACCTGGCAATTCCCTAGCCCTGAATACTTATGTGGGATGCCAAGAGGATGATGTAGAGAAATCATACCCCAGTCAATGTAGACTAGGCAGGCATTCCACACGGAAACCCTCCCATGATGCGCTTTGACCCCGAGGCATGGCACAACCAATGTACAAGTAGGCCGCATGGAGAGCCCATGGCTATTTACAATAATGGTTTGGTTAGAATCTCTAGAAAACCTCTAGCCTTAAATGTGCTTTGGGTTCATGTTGGGCTAAGAAGTACGTGCCTGGCAGAAAGGGATGCAAATTCTGTGCAGAAAGGCCTCCTTTCCCTGTTGCTATGGCTTGTATCCTCATGTTCCACCCCCCAAAGCCTCATGTACCTGTAAGTGGGGTGTTTCAGAGGTGGCTAGATCTAGAGCATGTGATACTGGGAATGGTGGCACTAAATTAATCCACTGATTGGAATTCGCATACTTCTCAGTGGGACTGAATGGATTTACCAAGGACAGAAGGCTCACCCTAGGAGTGGGTGGCTCTATCAAAACACTGGTAGCCTGGATGGGATAAAAGAGAAAAGAAGGCTGGGTGCTTACTGCTACCACCCCATGGGCTGTTTCCTGTCACGCCAGCTTGCCATGCCACCCTTCCTGGAGCTGCCCAACAATGGACTGAAACCTCTACAAACTGTAAGCCGAACTAACACCCTTCTTCAACTTGGGAGTGGTCTCATCAATGAGAAAAACTACTAAGGCACTTACACAGTAAGTTCCTGATTTACAAATGGGTTTCATTCCAGGAGAATGTTCATAATTTGGATTTGCACTCAAGTTCTAAGTGCATGTTACAGAACATGTGTGAAAAGGGGCTGGGGAGATGGCTCAGTGGAATAAGCACTTCCCTGGCAAGCACAAGGGCCTGAGTTCAATCCCCGGTCACACACACACACACACACACACACACACACACACACACACACCAAAGATGGGACTGATCCACTTGCTGTTTGGCTGGTCCGAAGGTAGTGGGTTCCTCAATTGATTGTTCACAGAACATGTGTGAAAGTTCACAACTGAGACGTTCACTAGGGACTTACTGTACTTCAATTATTTCTGCAAATAATTTTCAAATGTGGGAATACAAAACTAGCAAGTAAAGAAAATCAGCTACAGTATCAAGATGTCTACTCTGAACCATTAGACATCTATAAAACTCTACTTATCATGTTTAAAGAAT